TGTTATTAAAAGAGATTCCACACATCTATCGCATTGCTATAATTTTTCAGTGCGGAGTATCCGAAAAGGACAGTGCAGTGGCCATAGCGACTGAACAAGAGTTTACGCGTGTACTAACGGGCGACCCTTCAGTGCTGATAATCCTGGCTGGTATGCTGATGATAAGCTTGCTAGGCCTTGGCTGCCTGCTTATCGTTATCAGCAAACAACGCCGTTCAATATCAATGCTGCGAAAACGATCGCCAGTGCAACCACCAACTCATGCCACCGCTTATTTGTTCGCAGAACAACTAACAAAATCGGACAAGAAAGCTGATGACAGGTGGTTGCAAATACTTTCTTGATACTTGATGATCCAAGGTCAAAATCATGGCTGCAACATAGGGATGGAAGCAGTAGCCTTTTCTCCTTGCTGTTTTCTGAGGGTGAGCCCCAGAAAAAACCGAAAAATTTAATTATAATCAAAATTGCCATCAGGAAAGATGCTGTGAGGTTTGAATCAAACTTGACATATTTCGTGGTAAATAATAATTCAAGGCTTTACTGATAAAAAGGAAAGTGAGGCCAATTGTTTAATAATTCTAATACAAAATCAAGGTAGTAGCTTCTAAAATTGTTATGGAAAATTATAAAAATAACAGAAAATACTTTAATACTTTGATGGCTAGTTGAGCTGAGCAATTCTGCATTACTTCGTGGTCAGCTTGCTGACGGTTCTGAAGTTTAGTTTGCCTCCAAAAGGAATCATTGGCCCATAAAAAGCATTTAGCAAAATTTTAGCCATTTCAAGATGTCTTTGGTAGGTTTCGTATATCATGTCCCTGACTTTTACATTACTTCCACAAGACGACGATGAGGCCACTTATTGGAAAAAATATACCGAGGCTGCCCGGGCTATCATTTTGTGTAGCCCATGTCAGTGACATTGTTCGGATGCGCCTGCACACTGGCACTGCTATACTAGGCCCCTCGGTTCTGAATCGCATGCCTCCAGCTACTACCCAGCACTTGTTCAACGTGTTTGCGTCACTGCTTTAGGAGGCGCCCAATTGGCTGTTTACTTTATCGCGGGTACCATTTGCTAATGCGCGGCATCAATATAAAACCAAAAAATCATAATTTCTTATAAGAATGCCACAAGTGAAATTGTGATTTTGTCAAAGAATATCTTTTTTTTTAGATACAGCATACCGTGGGATCAAAAGTGCAGCTTACATCCGTGCTGGATGTTCAACGGGAATGCACGTGGT